AGGGGCCAAAACCTCCCATCCAGTCGCACCTCACTACCTACCCCAGGTGCCACCAAACACACCCTCTCCAAATCTCACCCTTATCTGTGACCCTTCAGTGATGACCCGGCAGACCCCCCCAAAGCCTCCTCTTCCCAGATCTCCAGCCGGGCCTGGAGCTGGGTTGTGGAGGGGAGGGTCTGGGAGTCCACACTCTCCACCCACCTTCCTTCCCCCTCTCCTGGTCCACCTTGCAGTGTTTGGAATAAACCATGTTTTTATGCCTCCTCAGTCCAAGTGTGAGCTCCGTGTCTGTCTTGTAGCCCCCTCCCCCATCCCCCAGCACCAGCACCCTCAAACCTGTGAAGGAAACAAACTGAGAGAAGTCCCACGGAAAGAAGGGGCAGAAAGAGAATTAGAGCGAGAGCAGAGACCCTGGAGGGACCCAGAAAGAGGAGATGAAACAAGACCCTGAGAAGGGAAGGGCGGGGTGGACAGAGACCTGGAGAGATGGGGGACAGAGAACTCAGGAAAGATCCAGGACCAGACCATTTCGGGATCAAGTCGAGGGTCCCATTCCTATGGCTACGGTCAACGAGGCGTGCAAGATTCTTAATATCCTGTCCATGCAAGTGAGGAGCGTGTCTAATACATTTCAGCCAATCCACGTATCTTGAATAGCGTTAATCTCACCAAGGAGAATCTATTCCTAACATTTCATTATGCCAATTAGCCAAACCTCTGCTGCTGATGGGCGATAAGGAGAAGCACTCCTAACAGCTGCCTCCAGAGGGTGGACTTTCTGATTAAGTGCTCGCCGACCATAGCTGCAATGTGAAGTCCTTGGTTAGGCACTTGACTGCCCCGAGAGGGTAGATTCAACCGACTAACTCACGCGTAATATCATCCTGCTTACATTAAGCATTTTGAAATAAATTAAAGCCCTCATCACAAGGAGGGGAGAAGAAACCGGCGTTATGGGTCTTCAGAGAACAGAAACCCACACTCCTTGTCAGTAAGAGCTCTTATTTGCATACATGAATAATCATCTGAGCGAAAAGAAAGCTCTGGGAATCAAAGGTGGAAAAATGGAATGGGGGCTCTGAACTCTGAGTCTCGTAACATAATGAAAGCATAGTGATTAATCACAAAAACAATATGTAATTATATATGTGTTTTCCGATGGCCTTAGGCGAGCCCTGTGAAAGGGTCGTTCGACCCCCCGAGTGGGGTCGGGACCCACAGGTTGAGAACCGCTAGTGGATGGGGAGCCAAGCCTCCCAGAGAACTACAACTCCCAGGAGGCCTTGCTTGTTCTTGATTTCATCTATAAAGATCTTTCATCCTCAAAGTTATGCGGAGCTGGTGGTCTCCGGTATCCACCCGCCACCTCCAGGGCTAAACAAGGACGCCGTTACCTTGTTCTCCTTCTCCCTCTCCCCACCGCCCTCTCTAATTGGTGAACTGGAGAGTTTCCAAGGTAACGGCGCCGCCTGGCGGATCTCCGAAGGGGTGGGGGCGGGGAGAAGCGCCACCCGGAAGTGACGCTCTCCCCTCGCGCCGACAACTAGAGGTTTCGAGGATGGCGGCGCGCAAGGGTCGGCGGCGCACGTGTGAAACCGAGGAGCCCATGGAGGCCGAGTCCCGCGACGCTGGGTCCGAGGGCCCGGCCCAGGTCTATCTGCCCGGCCGGGGGCCGCCGCTGCGCGAAGGAGAAGAGCTGGTCATGGACGAGGAGGCCTACGTGCTGTACCACCGAGCGCAGACCGGTGGGTGGGCACCCAGACCCCTGGCCCCCGGGGAAGGAGGGAGCTGGAATCCTGGGTCTTGGGGGGGCCAGGTCCTGAGCCTTTAACTTACTAGTAAGAGGCGCTCTGAAAGGGAAGACTGGGGTCCTGAGAGGGATGGCGTCACACTGCAGGGCGCCGAGATCCCGCCGCCCCATCCTGGCTTTCCAACCGCTCCTTCCCTCCCCAGGCGCCCCCTGCCTCAGTTTTGACATCGTCCGGGACCACCTGGGGGACAATCGCTCCGAGCTCCCTCTGACACTTTACCTGTGTGCCGGGACCCAGGCGGAGAGCGCCCAGAGCAACAGGTGAGTGGGACCTGAGGCTCTCCCAGGAGTCCAAGTCCCAGCCTCTTCCTGCCCCAAAGTCCAGGACGCAGCCTCCGGCTCGCCTTCCCCAGGGACCCAGGAGGCAGGACTTCCGGCTTCGGCCTCCCTCAGACCCAGCAGTTGGGGTGTCCCCGCGCCTCAGTCACATCCCACTTTCCCCCAGATTGATGATGCTTCGGATGCACAATCTGCACGGGACCAAGCCCCCACCCTCAGAGGGCAGCGATGAAGAGGAGGAGGAAGATGAAGAGGATGAAGAAGATCGGAAGCCTCAGCTGGAGCTGGCCATGGTGCCCCACTATGGTGGCATCAACCGAGTCCGGGTAAGTGCAGTCTACCCAGTCTGCTCTGCGTCTCTGGGGCACGCCCCTACTCTCACGTCTGTACCTGCACCTCCTCACGCCCGCCAGCTTTTGGGACAGCATCGGGCACATTGTTTTATATGTTAGTTTACATATGTCTTAGCTATTCTGAATTGTCGCTGGGTGCTGTGGGGTGTTTTTTTTTATTATTATTATTGTTTAAAGTATTACAAAGGGTATTACATATGTGTCCATTTTTCCCCCCTGCCCTAGTCAGTCCCCTAGCCTCCCTGCTTTATGTTTTGGTTGTTTTTCTCATCAGATTTACACCCTCCTTTTTGCGACTGGGAATCTGGAACGTGGTGATGTTTGTAACCTATGAGCAGCTGAAACGGGCCTTGATGAACGTCCAGATGCTACGGGAATCTCCGTTTTGAATAGGTCAGGCCACTTGGATGCAACTGGAACAAAATCAGTTAAGAATGGAATAAAGCAGTGGGTCCACGCACACGGGCACAGACCCACACATGTTTACAGAGCTGTTTACTTGCTGATGACTCAAGAAACAGAAGAGGAGGAAGGAGGC